ATTGTAGATAGTCTTTTTGATAAATTTCAGTCAATTCTGGCTAAGATAGAGTAGATAGTTCATAAGACTAATGAAAGACAAATGGCAAGATAGTTGGAAACACGGAAACACTTTTGTTATTTTAGCACAAAAGTCTTAGAAAAAAAGCTCTTTCATTCACCACTTGAGGTGAAAATCTAATCTCTAATATCTCCAACAGTCGCAATGGCCGAGCGAACAAAGCAAAAGAGAGCTTTCGAAAGATTCGAGTTCGAGTCCCTGCCAGCGGCTTTTTTTCTTACATTTCTCTACTTATTTTCTTTTTAATAAAACTTTCTTTGAAATTTTAGATTTTTTTTTGTAAAAAAAAATTCATACATATTTTTTAATTTAATTTAGTTTTCCGAATATTATTATGTTTTAGTTCTTTTTAAATTTTTTTAAATTGAATTTATCTTAACTTTCAGATGTTATTCTTAAAAAAAATATATTTTTTTAATTTCATTTAATTTTTAGGAGCCCGTTTGAACTTTAACTTTCAATCTTAGGATTTGATTGTTTAGAAAAAAATATTTTTTAAAATTTAGTTTAATTTTTAAAAGTTATTTCACTGCTTTCTCCTTCTTTTAATTTACTTTGGTTTTCGTTTTTTTAAGAATTTTCTTTTAATTTGTAGAATTTGTTTTACAAAAAAAAATATTTTAATTTTAATTTTTAAGTATCTACTGTATTGTGATTTATGTTTTTCTTTTTCTAATTTAATTTTCAGATATGTATGTATATATATTTTCATTTTTTATTGCATTAATTTTTTAGAAATATATTTTATTAATTTTTGCTTTATTTTCATTTTATTTTATTTTTTATTTCTTTAATTTAAATGTCATTGTATTAGTTTCTATTGTTTTAATAAGAAAAAATACATATTTTTTAAACTTTATTTATTAAAAAAAACCTTTTTGCTAAAATGCGCACAACGAACCGCTAAGACCTCCTCGTTAGCTGATCTTTCAATAACTCCTTCGAAAGACAGTAAAGAGCTTTTAAGATAGTTGCCAGAATTGACTTTTGTCTTTCGAAAAACTGTGCGGATTGAAAGGCAGTTGCCAGAATTGCCCTGTTACTACATTGAAATAAGGTTCTGCTTTCCCCAAAAAAAAATATTCTTAAGCAGGGATCACACGATTTGTGCATTTTTATATTTGGCAATGTCACAGAGTGGTGTTGTCTATTTAGAAGTTTTGATCGGGAATGAGTTTAGCTCAATATCAACTTTCCAAACAACATGACTCTTTAACGGTGAAAATGTAAAAATCTGTACAAATATACAAATCGTGTGATCCCTACTTTAGATAAGGTGTTTTGTTACTGGGAACAACTAACCCAAATTATACTAATTTTTATCATTGTCCATTCTGGATGTGAATGCTCAATGATGAATTCATTGTTTGCGTAGGAATTGCACCAGATTCAGCTTTGCCTAAACTTCTTTCGCTGCAGCGCAAAGAGGTTGGTTCCGAATTGGTGGCATACGTGAATTCAAAATTTGTATACCACTTTAAGGTTTCCGACAGGGTGGGAAGATGATCTCGTTTAGAACGAATTTGCCTCAACACTTTACAAGGGATGCGTTTCAAAATTCTTTTCAAGTTTAATCGAACAGTAAAAATACAAGATTTTATTAAACACTAGTTGAAGATTACCCAACAAGTATGTATTGTGAAATCAGTCCTCACACGCGTCCGCCTCAAACTTTCACTGCAGGGCTGCATCCAACGACAGCAGTGACACAGCAACGTCCGGCGGCCGCCATATTGCTTTTTCGTGACTTGCCAAACTGCGCCTGCTGCCTGTCATGACAAATTGTCATAAAAGTGATTTTTGGTTTTTGATAAAAGTGCAACAGTCAGCCACTAACTAATTTCGCTATCCTGCAACTTTATCTCACTCCCCAAAACATGTTTGCATGCATTTTCCGCAGCAAATTTAGTGACATTCGTGTGGCGATTTGCAGTTCGGCGCACGAAACGATTGGTAATTACCGTGTTTACCTCGTTAAAAACAAACATGTCGCCAATAAATGACATCCACCTCCACCCATTGCGAAGTGAGTTAGTTTGAATATAACTATGCATACATACATATGTACATAGGTGTAAGTGCATATCTATGTATATAACTATGAGTGAGTGATTCATTTGAGATGGTTAAGAGGAGAGTACGCAACCGTTGTGCTGGTGGTGTTGGGGTACACTTTTAATGCTATTAAAAATTGCTTACAAATTTATGACAGGCTCGTGCGCTTAATTGCATTCATTATTTTAATTGTGTAATTCCGATTTTTTAATTTAATGGAAATTGTATTCAAGTGACTTTCACTGGCTTGTAAGTTGGCCAAGTCTGCATAAGAATGCACATACTAGTATGTAAATAAGTATTAGTATTAAATTAGGTTTGCGCGAATGTGAGATAATGGTATAATAGAATGTAGAATACTAACTCTGCCTAATGTCCTTATTTTTTATGTATAACAATTGTAGATTAGGTTACAATTAAGTCCATTTTCAAATTGAAAATAATTTATAGGAATAGTTTTAATTAAGGAAATGGATACATATGTATATCGAGCCCTAACCGCCAAAATAACGTAAGCGACATTTTTTTCAAAGTTTTCTTTTTGATGCAGAAATATTCCTAGAGCTTCTAGATACATTTCTGCATCAAAAAGAAAATTTTGAAAAAAATGTCGCTAACGTTATTTTGGCGGTTAGAGCTCGATATAACGACAATAATAAGCAGAAGGGCCAAAAAAATGTGTTGCATCAACTGAAATCGATAATTTTAAGATGAGATGATGTCAATCGATATTTCGGTAACCAAAAAAATATTTTATTTTTTTTTAATTCTATCACAAAATTCATAAAAAAAACGTAGTCCAATTCAAAAGTTAAACATTTGTTTAATAGTGTAATTAACCCTGCTGTTAGATCAGAAAAAAACTTACGATTCTAACGGTAATTAACCATTTGGGACATACTGTAATTTTCATACAAAATAACAATTTTATCGTACACTAAGTACATCCATTGCCGAGCGAATGTGAATATCTTTCACAGGATTTTATTTTTGTAGAATTTTTGTAACATAAATATCAACTAAAAAATGGATGTTATATGCACATATATGCATGTCTATTTATTTTCTTTACTTTACTTTATAACAAAGACTAGCAAATGCGCGGCGTGCTTCACTGCTTCACTTTATGTTATCGATTTAATTACATAAATTTTTTCAAAACACTGGCAACCCTCCTCCAAACATTTTCGGCAGTAAACTTTTCTAAACCTCTTCAGTTTGATAGCCGTATTGTAATATTTCATTATCAATTTAATTAAATACGAAATTTAAAACAGGTGGCAACCCTCCCCAAAAATATTTTCGGCAGTAAACTTTCCTAAACCTCTTCAGTTAGATACCCATATTGCAATATGCAATACTCGGAACCGCACATCACTAGTATATATTTCTAGTGCTATGATAGAATTCATTCCTCTATCTATTGGCATAGAAGAAAACAAATAAGGGAACGCTAACGAGAAACGTATTGCTGAATTCACTACCTTCGATAGCCAGCTTCAACGGATGCAACACCGTCATCGCCGCTTGTGTTTATTGTCTAAAAGTTTGGAGAAATGTTGAAGAATTCATTGACCAAATATGATTAAGTGAAATTTTAACAGTTAATTTAGTTTCGTGGATCAGCGAATTTTCCCTTATCTTCGAAACTTTCTCAGCGAATGGTCTTCACTTAGGCTAAAAACATACTGGAGCGGCGATCAAAGAGTGAAGAGCAAAGCGTACACACCATTAGCGCACACAAGGGGTGGGTTTGGGGTTTTATATGAATTTTTCGTTTTTCTTAAGAGTTCAGATAATTTTTTCGGTATTCGAAATATTAAAAAAATGTGGCAATCGTGAAAAATCACCATCTCTATCGAAAACCAGAAACCAGAAATCGAAAAAATTAACATTAAAGTGTAAAAATTTCTTGGAATCAATAAATTTATTTTTACTGACTCTTTTTTAAAATTTTTTATTAGGTACCTTTGAAAGTTGAGCTCATCTTGAGTTTATAGAACTTTTTATTAAACAAGTAGTTTTTAAGGAAAGAACACAATCGACTTCAATTCTCATATACAAATTTAGGTGTACCGTTAATTTCTTCATGATCCAATCATCGGATCTAAACCAAATTACGGGACGACCCTTGAGGTGTCATCTTTCCAATAAAAAAAGAATTATTGAAATCGGTTCACGTGGTGCAAAGTTATGTATTCCGATGAATTGATAACCTCCCCTTTTTTGAAGTCAGTTAAAAATGTTTGAGTTCTGTTAATCTTATGTAAATAAAGTGCAGTTTATGAATTTTAAACCGTTTATTTATTTATTACATACTGTACATAAAACTTGCATAAATGTATTTCAAAGAGCGTATTATCTTGAAGCGAATTTTCAGTATACTCCGGTGATATATCTTCTAAAATATAAAACCCCCCCTAAAATATATTCCTGGGTGCGCCCCTGGTACACACATGTTTGTAATTGAAGCTTTGCTCTATGCTAGCTCTTTGCTTTGCTCTCCGCTCCACTATGTTTTTACCCTTAGGGTCACTTTCTAGATAAGAAGTATTAGCCCGCACATCATGTCAAAATGTTCCTAGAAAAGAAATACTCATTTTGACAACATTTCTTTGCTTATATCTTGATTAAAAACATTTTTAATATTCTGTAAACAGAATCGTGGCATTTTGCACTGACGCTGACATTAAAATCTCTATCTCTTTCTAGTTTCAGTTATTCGATGTTGTGGACCCTAATTTTTTACTCAAAATGCATTTTGTTGTACTTAAAATGAAAAACTTTCTATTAGATTACACATTTTTTCTATTAATACGAGTGCACATTTTTTGGGCTGACTTTACAACTTTGTGATTAATTTTTTTATTTACTTCACTTTTCAGACGCCGATATCAACTTAAAGGATACCTCCCGCAAATTCGGCACAGGCGGTCAAACTCTTACCCCTCGACATACTATTGATGCCATTTTGGGTCTAAAGAATCGCAATGAAGGCGGTGAAGGTAAGTTTAAATTTTTTTTTGAACCAGGTGTCAGCTATTGATGCTATTAATTTTATAGTTTTTTATTATTTTTATAATTTTCTGGAACCATGATATAGATCGTCAGATTGTGAAAATCCATACACGAGTAGAATATATTTTGAATTGATTAGTTTTCGGTTGATAGATTGTAATTGAAATACATAAGTTACTGCTGTAATATTGATCTGCATATGTTGAACTTTGAATTCAAGATGAAATATCTATTTTTGTACTTTTTTCATTACGCATTTGCAAGGTCCATTTCTAAAACACTGGGATATTTTGTCTAATTTTGATTGCATCTTTCCTAACAAAACCCCAAATTTTGATGATTTATCTTGTTGTGAACTGTTTGAGAAATACATATGTACATATATATCCATTTTAAAAGATATATTCAAAATTCATTTGAAGCTTTGGATATTTGTAACTCCGATGCTTTTCCAAATGTTCATCAAGTCCTTAGAGTCATATGTGTTTTACCTTATACGACTGCCGCGAATGAAAAAACATTTGCGCCGCCTAAAAGCTTATTTGAGATCAACTACGAGAGAAGATCGTCTCAATTTTCATCGCAATCTCAATGTTAATGTTGACTCTGCGAATTGCAGTATTGAAAGCAGAATAATTTAGTAAACAACCTGTTCGAGACTTTTCTTTGAGTTGTCGTGAATTAAAACCCAACTACAAGCATTTAAAAAATATAAAAAATAAGGCATCCATTCAAACAAAAAACATTCAAATAACCACCCAGTGGCTTTCTACAGAACAAAACGCCAACAATTTTCGCATATTGCAAAAGAAAGTGTGACAATAAAAAAAAATGTTTACACAAATAAATTTATTTGGAGTTAGTCAATCTAAAAACCATCTGTTCTACAAGGGCGATTTCATGCTCGGCGACATCACCGTCAGACACCAATCAAAATTGCATTATAATCCATTTAAATCGTCTACTAATCCCCGGATTAAAAGCAAAAAAAAAAGAGTACCAAAAGCGCACAAAACACACCCACGCAAAAAAGCATTAAAACTTTCAAGAAAACAAAGTAAATTTGCAAAGTGTGAAAAGTATAGCAAAACGCCAGCAAACGCCCACTCGCGTGAATTTGTGAAAATGTATAGTAAATAAAACAAATGCGCACGAAGGATAATGAAATCGGCTTAATCCTTTTACGAAATCACGAAATCAGCTAAAGTTGGCATCGACGAACGCTTTCGCTGGCGCTCGTTATCAGTTGTCGTGCATCTAAATCTGCTAAATTGCATTCCAAACCGAAAAGCGAAGGTGGTAAAGGATGACGCTGATTGTGTTGGAAAGCTAATGCTTAAGTGTAGATACGGAAGAGGCATACAAACAAAGTGGCTGTACATCTACATGCTTGCATATAAAATTGGTTAGATGTAGCTACTTACATAGATATATATGTACCCCATTATGCCGCTTGAAATAGCATTAATTTTAAGTCAGTTTCTTTTGTACACGAAAACAAGTGTTAATGTGATTTCGCGATTAAGATATTACAAATTGTTAGTCTGCATAATTTCTTAACTCCACGGAGAACTCTTAGTGCAGAATAACTGTTCAATGGATTTAAAAATTAAGAATTAAAAACTTGATTGCTTATTTATTTATATTTTTGTTTAAATATTTTTGTGCCTAAACGATCATTCTGGTTTCATATCGATACAGATATACAGCAAATAATAATGTTTGCCAGTTATAGTTGCTAAGCAAAGTGCAAAAATTTAAAACAACAGAAAAATACAATTAGAGCCAATTTTCCCTACAAGGGTTACATATTACTGAGGCGTATTCCAAAAGTCGTCAACCTAAAAATTTAAAAAGTGGTTTGGTAATATAGAGATCACAAAATTCCCTTGACCATTGACATGGTGTGTATTAAAGCGTAACCTGCAGAAAAAATTATCAAATGTTAAAAATATCCCACTTTTAGTTAAACTTTTGCTGGATTTCGATAAAATATGTATATAACTTTTAGTTCAGTACAAAAAGCTACCTTAAAACTAGTTGAAAAGTAAAGCCGGAGTCATGTAGACGTAATCGGGAGTTTGTTTTCTTTAAACAAGTTTCAATTTAAATATCCTCATAAAAATTTTACTTTGAACACACAATTTTTTCTGCACTTCCCAAATACTTTTTCCAAGTCAGGACAAATAAAGATCGAAATTTTATGTTATCATTTTGAGGTTACGTCTGACAGAATTGAATATGGGATCATCTACAGCAGAATATGTAAACAAATATGTAATGTTAAATAAAGGAAGTAAAAAATAAAAAAAAATAAATGTTTTTCGTTTTGATATTTTATGTCCAAAAGTAGTTTGGTACAAGTTAGTTGACATCTCATGCAGAGGTAACCAGCGTTGACTATTTCGCCGTCATCGCCGTGGAAATATGGTTAGCTCTCCCCAAGGAAAATATACAGAGAATAGTGACCTTTAGTTCCTTCCTAATCAGCTTACAGTTAGACACATTTCCTGCAGGTTAGTTTAGGGCTCGCATTGACATTTAATTAGATTGTTTAATTATATTGGATGACAGCTGCATTTGATCCTGCCATGAAGGAAATGAGCCGGTGGAACATCTTTTCAGCCTCTGCCCCACCTTGAAAGAATTAGATATGAGGCATTTAGCCCAAATGTGTTGAGAGACGAACACCTGAGCTCTTTGACACTCGACAATCTGCTTAAGTTTATTCGTAAATCATGCAGATTTAAGTGCGGTTAAAATGGTCAAAACAATGGACGGCAAGTAGTCTGAGTACTGTTCTCAGCTCGCGTGGTTTTGCACCTGGTTCGGGCAAAAAAAAAACCTGACTTAAATCAGCAAAAATGTTAAGCACGAAAATGGAGCAAGATGACTACCCTAGGATACATCGGACGGAGGTTAGATTGGGTTAGGTTGTGGCGGCAGACCCGAGAGGATCTCTATTAGGCATTTAATTAGACCAGTTTTCGCGCAGCGGTTGAAATTCAACCTTTTAAGTTAAGGGAGTTGGGGTGGGGTGGGCTGAGCTGAGCCAAATTGGGTTTAAATGAGTTGATTAAAGTGAATTAAGGAGAAATGCATTGAACAACATAACAGAATATAACTTAACATAACATAACACAACACAATACAATACAATACAACACAATACGATACAAAACGATACAACATAACTCAAAATAACATAACATAACAGCATTACATAATATAACACAACATAAAATAACATTACATTACATAACATAACATAATATGACATAACATAACATACCACATCCACAACGCAAAACAACACATCACAACACAACACAATTTAACACCATACAATACAACAGAATAAAACACAACACAAAACAACACAACAAAATACAATACAACACAACACAACATAATACAATACAACAAAATACAACACAACATGATATGTCATCCTTCAATTTTATCTTTTTCTTTTTCTCTTTTTTTTTGTGTTTTCGTCTTTTCGTTTTTATATTTATCACTTCCTTGACTTTAATTCAGATCAGATTCAGATATTTAGCAAATTTGCTACGCTCATAGCAAATATTCAAATGCGGGGCACTATACGGCGTATATGTATCCTCAGGTATTTGTATGGATGGAAGAATTCATCTTAAAAATCTTTGTATTTGTTTCACTTAGAAATTGGAGACTTCCTTATCATATTTTTCTACTTCAGCTGCACAGTCTGCTTATGCATATTCGTATACGCATACATATGTATGTACGTGAACTTTTCATCGCCTTCTTGACCTTTATTCAATATCCTGTTGGCTTCCTTTCGGTGCCGCTTTGTATTTGTACTTGTATTGTGGGCAACATGTTAATGTTGAAATAATAGTTGCAAATGCTATGTAATCACTGCTAAAGTTGTCGGAATATTTATGATTTATTGCCATTTGAGAAAAATATTTAGAAATGAGGCCATGCAAACCAAAGCAGCATTTCGTTTATTAGTTTTAAAAGCTGTTTATTTCTCCTGCAAAATTTCTTATTCGCTAAGTAAGGCATTTTCCATTGATGGGGATGTTGCGTAACGTTGACACATTATTGAGTATAAACGCAACTTAAGGCAGTCACTTTCACAGCCGGAACAAAGTATCGGCACAGCAAATTTTTCACAATATATGCAACAATTTTCGCCAATTTTTTAGAACAATATGGTTCTTTCCACAACAAAAAACATAAAAATATAATTCCTAAACTTTGAGCAAAACTGGCAAAAATTCAGCAAACTTTCAAATTTTTAATAAGATTTTTTAAAATTATTTGAGTATGCAGATTTGTAGCCCAATCAATTTTATTATAATAGTGTACAAATTTTAGGTAGCTAGGAATTACCGTTGATTTTTGGCAATTTTTTTTCACGTAGTCTCTTCCATACAAAAATTTTTTTTCGAAAATACTTTATATGGAAACAAGTAATTTTTAGCGAAAAAAAAACGAGTTCAATTCTCATATAAAAAAATATATATCGGATCTAAACCGGACCACCTCTGAGACATTACCTTTCCGATGCAAAAAGAATTAAATATCGGAATCGGTTGACGTGGTCCAAAATTATGCGGTAACATACATAAAAAAAAAAATGCAAAACATCTTTAACAAAAAAAATCTTCGATTTTTGACTAGCTCCGAGCTTACATTTTTCTGTACTAGAATTTAATGGGCTGCGAAGCTGCATACTCACAAAAAATCGAAAAAATCTGATTAAAAAGTTGAAAATTTGCTGAATTTTCGCTAGTTTTGCACAAAGTTTAGGAGTTATATTGTTATGTTTTTTGTTACAGAATGAACCATATTTTTATATAAAATTTGCGGAAAAATATTAGAATAAAAATTTTTCCATATAGTTTTGTGAAAAATGTGCTAGCCAATACTTTGTTCCGGCAGTGTATGTATCTATATTTGTGCATGCAAAACCACCGACAACTACGTATATATGTAT